TTTCATTTCGATTGTGCTTGGTAATTTTAATCATTTAATAATTTTTCATTTCATCCAGTTTCTTTGTCAGTTAATAATTAACTAAATTGTTTTTAGGAAGAAAAGAATGATTGAAGGTTCAAATGGTAAGCTATATTATTATTATTATTGATAAAGAGAATTATATTACAATTAGCTTCTTCTAGCAACACTCACCATCCCTTATTTATCTGGCACCTCCACTGATCCTTAGAATGAAACCGCCATGGCAGAGAGCTACTTGGGAATAAGGTAAAGGTGAGCCTTCGCCATCACTCGCATTCAATGTTATATTATTAATAATTAATAATAAATAATAATAATAATGATAATAATTAATAATAATAAATAATGATTAACAATAATAATTAATAATAGTAATAATTAATAATAATAAACAATAAATACAATTGTTCTTTAAAATAGTAAAAATAAAAATGTCAATATAATCGAATTTTCAGTTGTGTCGCATTCCCAATATGGTCTAATTTACTCATTTTCAACCTTGTTTACCTTGTTTATTTATTGTTAAAATGCGTATATCAGTCATTTGATAAATGTTGATTAAAGAAAGATGCAAAAGGATGATTGAGAAAATAGTGTGAACGTAAACAAGGAGGTCAACAATATTTTTTGCATCATTCTTCCCCAATTAGATAGTTTTTCCTCGTTAGTTCTGTGAAAAAAAGAATAAAAAAATTTGTATGACAAAGGCTAGAAAATTGGAAAAATGAAGATAAAAGCGAGAAATTTGAAGAAATCGAAAGTTTCTTTGATATGAAACAAGATCGTTGCATCATTGCATTCGTTGCGGTACAACTAACGAACATAGAGATAGACGACTAACGAACGAATTAATGATTTGTAGTGCACATTTCAGAAAAAAATAAAAAAAGTAAACTCATTCGAAGTCGAATTAGATTTCGGAATTTTTTTTACTTTTCTGCCTTCATTATTCGATTCGTAGTAGGACAGTCGAGCAAATGGTTTTAGATATTTTAGATATTTTTCAGTGGTTTTGATATTTAATTTCTCAAATATTATTTATTCGGCCTTTTTTTAAATTACAGGCTATTTCAATAATTATTTAATACCCGTATATTCAGCTATAAAAAAAAGGATTGCGATTCGATTTCGGCTTTTTAATGAGAATAGGCCTATTATTAAGACTGAAATCCGTATGTTCTACCTTTAAACTTTCTCTAATGAAGAAATGGCATCTTAATGGCCAAAGAAAGCAGCCAAACCAAAAATAAAGAAGAATGGATTTTATGAAAACATCTTGAAATTTCAATAAATATTTGCGTTGGATGTTAACTTTGGCGATCTTTATTACGGCTTTACGAATGAACTATCATGTGAATAGAATGAATGGCTTGGATTTACCCTAAAAGAAGTTAACCTAAAATTTGGATAGTGGCCCGGATATTAAGAGGCAGGAATTAGGATCGTGCTCCGAGAAGAGTGAGCCATTAAAAAATCCAGTTGGCCCACTTCTATGCAAGTGAAATCCCCTGATAAAAATTTCTAACTGAGTTCCAACAGCTAACCACAATTATCAACTGATAAATTAAATTTATAGGAAATATATCTATAAATCTATAGAAAAAAGAAAAAAATATAGAATATAGAAATAAAGAAATTAAAAAAAGTTATTTCGGCATGTCTGAACCAAAATTGCTACAATCGATGATGATGATAATAAAGGACAAGGAATAATAAAATTGATAATATAAAAGTGATCACTTAAATAGGGGTACTTATTCCTTAGTTTTCTTCATCCTCATTCAGGCAGATTAATATTATAATTATTTTGTATCTATTTGATAAACTTAAATTAAAAAATAAGTAAAATAATTAAATCAAAATAAATTAAAAAAGTAATAATAATAATTAATAATAATAGCAATAAATAGTATTATAATGGGGATAGAATGGCTTAATGGGTTGTTGCTCGATTGGGAGAGCCGATGCTGAGGTTCGATTCCCCGCAGGAATAATAATTAGTAATAATAATTAATAATCAAATATAAATATTAATTAATTATTAATAATAATTAGTAATGTTAATTAATAACAATCGTACAAAAATCTGAGTGATGCTGGCGACTCACCTTTATTTCTATTTTCAAGGGACTCCATGGCATATTGCTCAATGTGACAAGCCAGTGGAGAGAGTTTAACCAGTAATGGTGAGACTCTTAAAAAAAACTATAATAATAAAATAATAATAATTAATAATAATAATGATTATAATATAATAATTAATAACAATAATAAAAATAATAAGTAATAACAATAAATAGTGTAATGATACAATGATAATTAATAATATTAATCATTAATAATAATTAATAGTAATTGGTAACGATAATAATTAATAAATAAAATAATTAATTATAACAATAATAATTAGTAATAATAGTAATAATAATTAACAATAGTAATTAATAAAAGTATAATAATAATTAATAAATATAACAATTGGTAATAATAGTTAATTATAATATAAAAATAATAATAAACAATAATTAATAATATAATAATAATGAACAATAATAATAAATAATAACAACAAACAATGATAATAAATAATAAATAACAATATAATAATAAATGATAATAAATATAGATAGATAGAGTAGAAAAAATAATAAATAATAATAAATGGAATTTGGAAAAGCCAAATTTTTATTCTCTAAATCAAAAAAAAATCTTGATTGATAATTCATAATTGATATTTAATTGATAATTATTAAATTAACAAGTTTTTTTTGCAACATGCATCATTTTTGATTTGGTCGACACCAACTATTAGGATCAAAGAGAACTATTTAAGGAAATAAGGTAAACTTCGAACGCTATCTGAAATTCAAAGTCTCAAAGATTTATGGCATGGAAAATAAGAATGTATAATATTGAAATAAAATATTTATAAAATTGATACAAAATTGATTTCTGTTTAAAAAAATTATTTTATATATAACTTATTAATGCAAACAATCAGGAAAAGAAAACGACAAAACAAATCAGTTATCATCAAATTATTTCACTGAAATTGAATAAAAAAAAGAAAATTATCATTTGATATCAAAACAATCACTGATAAAAATGATTATTAATAATTATTTCACGATCATTTGTAAATACATATGATATGGGTGAAAATAGTTTTGCAAAAAAAGATTGTACCATCCCGTTTGATAATTCTACTAAAACCTGTCACTAAGTTTGGAACCTCGCGTTTATAAAGTTAATCTTCGTTAAACAAAAAAAGGAAATTACTATGGTTTATGGATATTATAAAAAGACCAAAATGATAAATGAAAATACAAACATGAATGAATGATGAATGAAAAATTTTGGAAAAAAATAGGCTTAAAAATAAATTTACAGAAGAGTTTAATTCAATTTGCTATTTATAAATCAACATTTTTTTTTCTCGATATTACGAATAAAGAAAAGAGAATTATTTTTCGAGGCAAACACCCTGAAAAAAAGAACAAAACAAAGCCTCAGGATTCCATTTCAAGCTTAAAGATTTCATATTTCGAGATCAATTAGTTTTGTGAGATTAACAATGTTTGATAGCTCGAATTACAAATTAAGTCTATAAATCTACTTAAATTATAACTAACCTATAATTTTTGTGAATTACTGTGTTAGCTAATGAAAATAAAATTATAAATGGAAAGAAGAGTACCTAAATAGATTTATGCAATAATGTAAAACAAAATAATAATTTATTAGCTCAGTTTATTCTTTTATGCATGTATACTTTCAGTTACTTTAACAACCTTGTCCATATTGCATAGTTTTAATGGATTTATGGCTAACATTTATCAAAAATTTATAAATTATGCATATATTATGGTGAATGATAGTGGATCAGAATATTGCGTTAAAAGGTAAAACTTTCCCCTCTAGAACCACTTAAAAATGAGGGCGATCCTGGTATTATTTTCTATTTTCTATCGTGAAGGGATTTCTTGCAAAAATTTCTGACCAAAACTATAGATACCAATTATTTACTTTCATTTACAATCTTTTGTCAAACTGTTTTCAAAATCTGGCTTCTCATTATAAGTCAAATTTTGAAATTGTGTTTTCTATATTTAAATACAACATACATAAAATTTTGTCGTTTAAACATAGGCAGCAACCACTACTATAGCAACCACTATGAGTTTTAAAATAAATGGTACGAAAAAAAAATATAGCAGCACGGAACAAAAGTATTTGAGGCGTTTATCGCAAATCATAAATTTTTGTCACATATTTTTATATTCATACTTTTATCATAAAATGTAGAAAAATGTCTTGATAATGAAATGAGGTATATACAGGTTTATAAAAAGCCGTTTACTCTAGTAGATAACTGAAAATGTAATGTAAATATAATCTAGTAGTATTTATTTTTGATAAACCTAAACATAATGGCAAAAGTTTACCATTATATTAAGCAAATAAAAAGCATGTGTTTAGGATTCAATTTGCGTTATTCTATTGGCTATTAGTAGGATGAAACAATTTTATTAGATTGTCACAAAAAATACAGGTAAGTTCCCACCATTGCTTGGACATTTTTAAATGATAAACTTAATTTTGTCAGAGTAGAACTTGAAAATGGTGATGCCTGAAATGGTCCGATAATGGCCAATCGGCTTAGCTGCCATATCAAATCTTAGGAAAGAAAATAATGGGAAAATATGCGATATCATAAAACGCTTATAATGATAGTGCTGAATTTTTTTTCTTAAATTTTTAATTCAGACTTTTAGATAAATTATTAAACTTTTTAATAAAATTGGAAAATTTTATTCATTCATGATATGATTTTAATAAGAAATATAATATTGAAAGATTTTTTGATTCTTTTATTCCAGTTATTTCCACATTTTTTATTTTCTAAAATATAGAATTTATCTCAAACTGCGCAAAAAAAGTTCGTCCAATTAAATACAAGATTTTATTGGTTAAAATTAGAAAAGATCCGGTCCCCTTCGTGCCGATGGTTTATGACGATTGGAAAAATCTGGACTTTGCGATCGCATTATGGATTTCTTATGCTTCAAGCCAACATCGATCTAAATAAATAATAGTTATTTTATTCATTTTTTATTTTTAAAAATACGGTAAAAGGGTAAATATATAAGAAAAATCCTTTGCTTCCTTTTTTAATTTGAAAATACAATGCTTAAAAAATGAATTTCAACTTAAAGAAATTACTATTCTTTCTTTCTTACCATTAAATATCATTAAAAAGTTGGTTGGGAACGCTTCAGGTTAAAAGTTTAAATGATTCCTTTTTTATGTAAAATATATTGATTTCGTAATTATTAATTATCAAAAACGAATAAAATGAATAAAATTTGATGAGCCAAATTGAAATTTTTATTTGAAAAAATCAAAAATTTTGTCGCTGAATTTTCTTCGTTAAAAGAAAAGCCATCAATATAGCACTAAAATTTAATCTGTAAAAAACGATTTTTCAAATGCTGTGACGGCATTTATCTATTCTGGTTGAATTGTTCTAATGATCATTAGAGATGAAGAAAAATGCATGAAAAATTATTATGAACTGTATCTTTACCACCGTGACAAAAAAACTATCAAATGAATGAATTTTTCAAAGCACGTGCCTTAATATATCGCCTTGATATATTGTCAAGGGTTCTGACCTTCCGAAGCAGTATTTTATTAAAAAATCTGTACGGTGCCGACTTGTTTACTATATCCGAGTGAATTTCAGGCAAAATTCGCACAAAAATTTTGAAATTCTTTCTCATTAATGTTTTAGAGCTCTAATAAGAGTGCCAAAAAAGGTATCGAAACCGACCGCTATAAAAAATTAATCTTAAAAAAAATCTTTTCTGAAACTTTTGAAATAATCACTAAAAAAATAATTCGTCGTGGAAAATAATTTTTTTTAATTTGAAATTAAATTAGTAAGAGTTAAATGTAATTTTATTAGCTTTTTTAAAATTCTGTCAATTCCGGTTAGAAATTTCAGTTTATCTTTCATTTAACTCACTGAAAAAAAATTTTTAAAAACTGAACTGATGGCAACACGGTTTATCTTAAAAATTTTGAAAATCAATTTGCAAACTCGTGATTATTTAGTTGCTTTCGATGGAATCAAGGGAAGTTTGCAAAATGATTTAGAGATTTAAAAATATTTTTTACCAATTATAAGGATTCACAAGAAACTGGAAAAAAATCTACCGTAATTGTATTATCGTCATCTTCGTCATCAGTTTCAATTGCTACTCGGTGACAAGAATCTCGAAGAAAAGATATGTGGTTATTAGAGTCGCTCCGATTTGAAAGCATTTTAAGTGAATCTCCATTAGATTCCTCTAGATCATGTATAACTTGGAACGGATTTTCTGGTTTAAGGCCAGCAGCCTAAAAAGTTAGAAAAAATATTAAAAATTAAAAGATACATTACAATGGTACTTTCATATCAAATTCATGATTAATTTGGAAAAAAATCTACAATTAAATCTCACCCTCATTTCGTCAAGTTCCTTGGCTGAACATGAAGGAGTTTCGACGTCATAAACATTGTGGAATTTGCCAAAGTCGATTTCATATTCACCGTTTTCTCGTTGATAAGTCACGAGCTTTTCAAACCTTCAGAAGAAAATTGATCATTTCACCATTTTTTAAAATGATTATCAGTAGTCATTAATGGGAAATTCAGATGTACTTCTTTACCCAAATGGAAACTCCCTGGCGAAACGATTTTAACCAGAATAAGTAAAAATAATAAATAATAAAATAACCTGATAAACTGATGAACATTTTCGATGACTGCTGTTTTCAAACAAACTAAATAGCCTCTTTTTATCGGATGTAAAAAAAGTATAAATACCTTTTACCCCAAAGAATTTCATTGGGCAAGTAGCTAGTTCTAGCTTGTGTTGTTGATCCAACAGACTCAACAACTCCTTCTAGGATTGCTATTATTTCGAATCGAGCTGTCCGAAGACTCTCTTTGTTTATGTCGTATAATGGGCTATTTTCATCAATTTCATGACATATCGTTATTGGCCAAATAACGAAAACTCGATCAAGGCCATCTGCATATCCCACATCCATATCAAATTGATGAAATGGCAACAGTTCGCCCTCATATGTGATACATTTTTTGATCATCTAGAAGGTTATTTTTTAAAAATTATAATAATGCAAGAAATAATCAAGACTAAATGACGGCTGCTTAGAATATTTCAATCTTAACGATTCGTTCTCTGTAGCTGGCAAGAGCAAACGTATTAAAAATTTCAAATGATCCTCATTCTAATAGTCAGTAAAGCGACCTAACAAGAAATAATGAATGCCATTTATCCTAATTAATAAACTAATTATCTAATTAACTAAATGATGATAGTATTTTGATACTTTTTCAAAAAATTAAAAATAAGTGTATGTGTGGTTTTGGAAAATACCAATCAATGTAAAAAATTCATACAATCCAATAATAAAATCGAACAATCTTGCTTAACTTAAAGAGCAAAGAAATACCTGAAGACGAACATGAGCTTCAGCTAGCGAACTTTTACGCATATCGCCAACTCGAAACAACAAGCACAGCTTTCCATCTCGCATACATATCACAGCATTCTTACTGAAAATCAGAATTAATATGCAAAACCTAATGTTTTTCAAGCAAAATATTTATTTATTCAATATTTATATCAATATTTATTGCGTCAAAGCTAGAGGGAACATTTCAAAAGCAAAAAACTGATAACTGATAGCACTTGTGGAAAAATGTGAAAAAATGAAAGTACTCGAAGTAATGAAAAGAAAAAAATTAGAAATATTCGAAATTATATCCATTAAATATTTATATTTAATTTGGTCTATTTAATATTTTTTTAATAAATCCATGCCAGAATACACTGTTTCTGTTTAAGTACTTTTATTCCACTTCCTTTTAAAAAACGAGTTGCATATTTATGTAATTGAGAAGAAGAAAGCCATTATCACTCAAAGAAAGCCATTACCTTTTCGACGATTCAATTTTGGGGCATTTCTATCAAATCGTCGTGAGATCCTATTCTATTATTCCATGCACGAATATTCAGGCTTTTAAGCCCGCATTAAGCACTCTAATTTTTTCAAGGTAAACTCGCTAGCCAACTTACGCGAATCGATCACAAATAAAACCAAAACCCTTATGCTATTAAAGCATGGAAAATAAAGCATGGAAAAAAAAGCATATTAATCGGACTAACCTAAATAATATAGTTGCTGCACGTTTAATAGGCCTGGCAAGTTTTGCGAATATAACACCAGCCATAAGCGTTTGGCACATAACACCAATCATAAACTGAAGGCACATCGTCATGATTAATATAGGACATTCTGCTGTTGGATACCTGTAATCAATTTGCCACTTTATGCTCATTTTATGTGGAAAAAAAAGAAAAAAAATTATGAAAATAATTAATAATAATTAAAAAATAATAATAGGCCGATAAATATGCGAACGAAATATTTGAGTGGCTGGTGAATTTTCAACCACGGCCTTTGTATCTATGGCCAAGGCAAGTGGCTCAAAAATCTGATGTTGCAAATATTTGCAAAAAAAGTAGGGCTTAGGGCTATAATAAAAACTGCACCAGTGATAGACGAAATAGAAGTTGAAATCAAATTAAATTAGGATATCGAACAGTTTTTGCTGAAGTAATTAGAAATTCAGATCGACATATATATTAAAAACTGGGAATAATAAAATTTACCTGAATCCATAACCAATAGTAGTTTGAGTTGTGAATGAAAAAAGAAAAATATTCGTTAAACTGTTAGCATTAACGACACAGGGATTCCAATCCGAGTCTTCTAGATGCTCAAAGTCGCCGTGTGATATAATAATTAAATAATAAATAAAAAAGAACGAAGTCCATGAGATCATAAACGACATCGCAAAAAATAGTAATGACCAACGCCACTTCACTTCGATTACTGTTGTGAAGATGTCACTAAAAATAACAAAGTGGTCAAAAGCACTTTTAGCAAAAACAGCGAGAAAAGCAAATGCCTCAAATGCCTTATGCTTTTAAGCAATTATCCAGCTATGATAATGTTCATACTTCAACATTTAGTAAAAAAGTAAGAAACAATCAAAAAATTCCATATTATTCCAATCTTATTATTCGGTTTTCTTAATATTGCAAATAAAGCATTAAATTTTTAGAAAAATTATTCCGGTTTTTTAGAAAAAATTTTTGTGGAAAGTCTATTATAAAAATTCACAATCTACATTTTATAGCCATCAATATTTTGACATTTTTAAATGTGTCGTTTGTATTTTCATCAGTTAATTCCCAATGGATATTTATTTTCCCACTATTTTGCAAGTTGGTAGAATTTTCTTTCGAAGAAATTTTATTTAGTTATATTTAAGGAAAATCATAGTAATTTATTTCTTGCCCTACCGATAATAATTATATACACTTACATTCTTTGGCAATGCAAAGATGGATAGGCCTAATTAATTATTGAAAAGAGTGGATAGTCTAATGTTGCAATATTATGACTATTGTCAAGTTCAAATACTATCCTTTTACATAAAACTAAAATAACCTAGGTGATGCTGGGGAAACGTTTGTAGTTTGTAAGTGGTTTTAGTCAATGGAATCAACCAAAGTAGAGGAAGAGAGGTATACAAAAACTGCAAAAATTTCTAAAAAGAAATAAATTTTAAAAATTATGTGGAGGCATATTATTTCAACTATTTGACGAAAAAAATCCGTCAAATAGACCTGAAATATTTCCTCCTTTGTTTAGGTACGTTAACCAGAGAAATATTGCATAAACCATATTTTTGCACGAGCCGATTGCGAATTCTTCGTGATCCAATTCGAGGTTTAAAAAATCGAATTCGATCTCGATTATCGTTGGCTTGGAAATGATTTAGGCTTTGTTCATTAGTACCTAAAGCTGGAACGGAATCAGCACTTGCCACCAATGTTTTATTTTCGCTGTCATTCATTTGCACTTCAGTTACCACTGAAAATCAATAGTTTGGCAATTCTGTTAAAAAAACCAAAAATTTAATAGTACTTTCCTCCTGCTCAAATTTTTAATTATCGAGTTTTTATTCTAAAATTAATAACAGCAAAAACTCACCTATCTTCGCCTATAATTTTTGAACTACATTTTGAGCTCTAATAATTTACGGGGAATGAATAAAAATCAGTCATATGGATTTTTATTAGCGAATTCAAAAAAATATGAATAGAATTAAATTGAATAATTAGTTGGAAGCAGAAAAGTGGTTCAAATTATGGCTTTGAACATTCTTGAAAATTTGTTAAGGCCAGTACAGTGCTTTTTAGAAACTGCGAACGCTACGCTTTTTATTTGCTTATGATTGATTTTCATTATTAGCTTCACTAGCCTTCAGTTCAAAAAAAAATTTAGGCAATTAACAAAAATATCGCCAGAACGATAAAATGATAAAACAATAAGAAAATGACCAAAACAGAAACGAAAAATTAAATTAAAACTGGGCCATTTAAACTTTAACAATGAAAAGAAAAAAAAACTTTAAATAAAAACAATTCAACTGATCCTCAATCCGAAATAATCCAATGCCGTAAAGAAACAGAAGAAACAGGAATCAGAGATATTTCAGAGAAATCACAATGAAACTGAAACGAATAATATATCGTCCCAGTAGCATACTGCTTCGACTGAGGTCCATAACAGATTCGATTCCTGTTTACTGGCGGCAGGAATAAACCTGTCTTTAAAATTGAAGCATAGGTGATTTGATTCTCTGGCGAAAATACCATCCTAGTTAATGAATCCAGACAAACCGAGATTGAAAGGACAAGAATGAATTAACATAATGCATAGCAAAATATTAGATAAAATATCGCAGACAACTTAATTAAATAATAATGACCACATGGAAATCGTAGAAGGTTAGCCAATCAATTTCGAAAATAGTAACATAATTAGAATTTTTCCTATGATCACTGAGAATTTTCCAACCAAAATAAAATATAAACCAAGTGGATTAATACTGAATCGTTTGGGAAGCTAAAAAGCCGAAATTGAACCATAGAATTTTCTATTCATTTCTATTCATTCATTCATTTAACAATTTTCACGCTGTTCGGATCAAAAACTTGGATCCTATATTTTGGACACAAAATTCAGATTGCCATGGGAGATTCTGATAAAATTCGTGATAAGATGCTAAAATTTTAGAAAAATTAAAAAATTTGTTGTACAATGACTAGTGAAAATCGGAGAAATTTTTCCATTATTTATAGGGGATCAATCCGGTGATTCATTTTACTTCAGTATTTAATATCTATTTTTATTAAATATCTATTTAATATCTATTTTTATATTTAAAATCTTCAAAAACTATTTATCACCAAATCCATCACGATACCTTTTTCGAATCGTCTTAAAACTACAATATCACTCACTTACAACGAATTATCTTCATTTTTGTGAGCTGATATATAACTGATGGAATCGTCATAATGCTTTGAAAATCCACTAAAATATGAATTTTAAAACAAATTTTAGTTTAAAGATCGAATAAAACACTGAAATCTTATTAATTATTTACGCACCAAAAAGCACGAAAGATGTTAAATGTCGATTGACCTATTGGCTCATATCCTTGCAAGTATGATGAGAGCAATGTCATCAAAACTATTAAAAATAAATCAATTGTAGGGATCGTATAAAAATGATTCGTACAAGTTCTTGAGAAGAGTGATAAGCATGCAAAATATAAATACCTATATTGCTGTAACATATATCGTTGCTTAAGAAACCGTAGAACTGTAGGTTAAGCCGTTTCATTGAAATGGCCGAATATCTTTGCAAGAAGAAAATCAGTGAGGTGAAAAGCGATAAATCAATAAAATCTCAAAATTATAAAAAGCTGAGACTGCTGACTGAAAAAATTGACATCGGTACTTTTTAATTTAAAGAATCCAAGCTTCACAGGTCATTTATCCATCATGATAATAAGAATGTTAGAATAGATTTAAAAATAGCAATGATGAACAAAAAAATAGTAGTGAATCGATCACCACTAATTCTTTAATTCATTTAAGTCAATCTAATTTCAAAACTTATTGCGAATCTAAATATCAGTGATTTTGAGTCTTCAACTAAATATAAAACCGTTGGCGAAAGCAAAAGAGAATAGAATGAATTAGTGGAAAAGCTGGAGCAATTGGAAAATTTTTGGAGAATTGAGAATTCAGAATGCCGATGCTGAGGTGCTACTGCTGTCATGAGTAAACTTATTTTGGCAATTCACCCACTTTTGTATCATCAAGTTATTTCCCAAGCAAAATTAAGCCAACGAAGCGAATCTAAATGAGCGCTTTAGCACTAGCACTAAAGGGAAAGAGGATATTAAGAAGTGAGATAAGAAAAAGTCTAAAAAACATCCCAAACGTGAAACGCAGTAAATTCCTTGCCTTCATTTTTGATTTCTAAGATTCGATTTTTATTAGCATTAAATATCTACAAATACCCTGCGCTGCCACGCGGAAAGTTTGGCTCTATTTCTATCAAAACTGCAAAATAATGGTGAAAAGAAAGCCGTATTTATATAAAAAAAAATCTCCACAATAAATCGCAATAGCATTTGATTCGCCCGGAAATAATTTTTAAACAAATAAAGGTTTTACGAAACATTTTAATATTTATAATTAGTTTTTCAGTAATTTTATGAATTTTATGCATTTTTGAAAATTAAATCCAAAAAATAAATTATAAAAAAATAAGGTTAATATTATTTTGAAAGACATAACTTTTTTGAAAATCAACATTTTCGGTTAAAATATTGAGTTAAATTGAACACACTTTTGATATTTAATTCTTCTCTGAAATTCGCATCATTAATTCCGATATTTTTTTTATCAGTGGTAAATTCACCATAAATAACTGCGATAAATCGACTAATTGATTTGAACTGAGAACCTTAATGGATCATAAATAAAGCGACTCATTTATTTGCACTATAAGACTGGTTTAAAATCAATGCTTTATTACTTCTTTGGTCCTTTGGTGGTTGCTTTTCAAGCTATTGAAAAATTTTTTACCAAAACCTGGAAGAATTTCGAGATATATGGATTAAATGGTTTTCGGCTCACCGAGAAAAGAATTTTAATATATATTTCCTCCCATTAATTTTCCAGACTAAACGAAATGATTGCAACATTGACTCAAATCCTCTGGTTACGTTCTACCAGTTATTAAGATGAGATCGCTAGGAAACCACTTATAGATAGACACTTATGGGTATCTAGCACCACTCAAAGTTGACAAATCCATTTGCATAAAGGAGAATACACAGATGCACAAATTGATAGCATCATATCAACCTTACGAGAGATTCGAAAAAAATAAGAAAAAGCAGTCTGAGAACTAATATGGTTCTCAGCTAATTCGATAGGAAGATAATTAGCAAATTAATTGCTGAAGAAGTGAACAAGCTAGTTCATGCATGATTCTTGTATACGCATACCAAACACACATAAAGCAAAGACCACAAAAAGAAATACACGAAAGTGCTGAACAGATATTCTGGATGAATGCTTCAAAAGATGGATAGTTTCGATAATGTCTTTACTTCAGTTATTTCAAGAATTCAATTTAATAAACATTTTTATATTTTAATTTCATTATTAGAATTATATGAATGATTCAAATTAAACAGAAGATATCGAATAAGACTGCTGTAGAATTAATTAATTATAGATTTAGTGTAGAGAATCGATAAAAAAAAGTCGAAAAAAAATGCGATTAAAATAAATATATATAAGTAATAAATGATAACAAAAATTCAAATAAGAAATTTTTCCACCAAAATTTGAGACAGAAATACTTAAAAAACTCATGTCGTGAAAAGTCATGTTACTTAAGTCATGTTACTTTAAAGTTATTACAATTTGCTATATACATGTAATATTAGTGGGTATATGTCTGGGTATGCGTCTGAGAAAAATGGCTCAAACTGTATGAAGTATGAAATATGAAGTATGAAGTAAGTATATATTGAAACGTTTTGATATCACTTGGAATCATCTCATCTATCATCATCTCATTGTATTTTTAATATATTTTCTAGAACAAATGTTTCCAAACATTTGAAACATAATTTCAAGTCCATATGCATTCTCGTATGTCTTCGTAGCATTCTGGCAAATCCTGTAATTTTCTATGGTTGCTTGATGGTGATTATCTGTGCTAAGAGAGTTTAGGAGAAATTAGGAGAAATTAAAAGGAGAAAAAGAGGATTTATGAGTATGAAAACACTGTAGCAAAATTCGAAGGAATGTTAGCGGAACATAACCAGTACATCAAGGAGAAAACGGTTCCACTTATATTACCGCTGGGTCTAAAAGATTTTTAGTTCTTGTATTCATGGTATCTCGCATACTCTTAGATCTGGTTTATATCTGATATATTCATATTAAGATTTCCAAGATTCAAGGAAAGATACGATTCTCTTAATAGAAGGTTTAGAACCATCTATGTCAATACATTTTCAACAAAATTGGGATGAATGCGTACATAGGTTCAATGATGTAAATTATTTTCTCTGGTTTCTTTTTATTTTTATTTTTTTCTCTGAATTTTGAGATAAAGAAAAAATTTTAACGCACATATAGTCGCTAATTTGAAAAATCGGCAAATCTCTTAAATCTCTTATTGCGGTGGAATTTCAAGCAAAATTGAAGAAAAAATAAAATAAATATTGAGAAATTTAATCCTTCTCCGCAAAACGGTCTTAAAAGCGTCATAATCTACAAATCTTGATTTTTTACTAAGTATGATCAAAATAATTTACTGGTAAATTATTTAATTGAACCATTTAGAAAAATGTAATGTTTAAATGCAATGCAAATGCAATGTTAGTATAAAATTATACAGATAGAATTAAAAATTCGAATGAAAAAATGTTAAATTTATCGAATATGGAAAAAAGAAATCGATCTACTCGTC